CTGCTGTGCCCTGCGGAAGTGGCGCGGCCCGGCCCGGCCCGAGCATGGCCCGCGTGGTCGGGATGTTTAAGACCCTCAGGACCCACTGGAAGAAAAGCACGGTGGGGGTCTGCCTGTGCGCCTGGGGAGGAAGCTGGGTGTACGGCAAGCACTGGTAACTATGCCCTCCCCCTTCTGCCCCCTCCCCCAGGCTTGAGACAGGAGGCGTTGGGCAGATAGATCTGGCAAGCGGGTGGCGGGAAATGCTGGTGGTTTGGGAGGCTTGAGATAGAAAGGGGCTGGGGGCAGCCCGCTGGGCAGTGGCAAAGCTGTCCTTTGCTAAAGAGGTTTCCCCCCAGTGGCCTGTGCTCAGAGAGGAGCTGCAGCAGCTCGGCCACAGGGAGTGTGGGTGGGCACTGCCGTGCTCTGAACACTGCCAGCGGGGATTAATTTTTGGCTTTCTTTTTAAAACACCAGGCCCATTTAAAAAACAACAACAACAAACAAACCAAAGCGATCAGGGAGATATTCTTCTCCTATTTCCAGACAGCAGGTCCCATTCTCTATTAAGACATTGCCCTTTTCGTGGGCTTGTCTCGGTGTGTACTGCATGAGTTTTCTTCTTGCTGCTGTTATTTCTCTCAGTCTTCCTTTTCTTCTAATGTGGTTTGAGCGGGCTTGGCCTCGCTGGAGCATCTCTCGTTCCCAACGCTTTTCTGTTTTACAATGCTTTTTCAAAGCTCGGGAATCTCTTTGTGATGATCGCTGTTCCTGTTCCACTAAACTGCGATCCAGAGAGGGCAGGTGAATGTAACTGCTGACTTCCAGAGAAATTTCATAGACATTAGGGCTGGAAGGGACCTCGGAAGATCATCGAGTCCAGCCCCCTGCCCAAAGGGCAGGAAGTCAGCTGGGGTCATAGGATCCCAGCCAGATAAGCATCCAGTTTCATCTTGAAGGTGTTCAGTGAAGGCGCTTGAACCACCTCTGGCGGCAGGCTGTTCCAGACCTTGGGGGCTCGGACAGTAAAGAAATTCTTCCTTATGTCCAGCCTGAAACGATCTTGTAGTAGTTTACGACCATTCGACCTAGTCGTCATCCCTTGGGGCGCTCTGGTGAACAAACGTTCCCCCAGATGCTGGTGGTCACCCCTGATAAACTTGTAGGTGGCCATCAGATCACCCCTGAGCCTGCGCTTTTCCAGGCTAAAGAGCCCCAGGGCTCTCAGCCTGTCATCGTAGGGTCTGTTTCCCTGACCTCTGATCATGCACGTGGCTCTTCTCTGGACTCTCTCAAGCTTCTCCACATCCTTTTTGAATTGTGGAGCCCAAAACTGGACTCAGTACTCCAGCTGCGGCCTCACTAAGGCCGAGTACAAGGGGAGAATGACGTCCCGGGATTTGCTTGAGAAGCATCTATGGATGCAAGCCAGCATTTTGGTCGCTTTACTAGTCATCCTGTAGCTGCTTTGTTGCACGTTTGGGATAGGTCATGGAGGGCCCTCTTAAAAGATGCACAGGCCCTCAGAGTAGCTTAGATCACATTTAAATGAGGGTGGGAAGATGAGACCTATTTTCTGCTCCAGCTAGTGAAATCCAGTCTGCAGACATTTGGTGGGGATTTCAAACAGCATTACAGCGGTCCTCAATCTCCAGCCTGCAGAGTGGTGCCATCCAGCCTATGCGTCTCCCCCTAGGTGTGGAAATTGGATGGCAGAGAAGCGGTGACAGTGCTAAGAGCAGATTTCCAGACCCATGGAGGAGCCCTGTGGGTTAGATGACATGGGCCACAACAAAATTGTGTCCTGTGCACGGGGTCACTCTGCAAGAAGATCTGGGAGTGCAGAACTGGGATGGTGCAACAAATCACACCGGCAGAGCAACCCTGTGCATTGACCCCACCCGGGATCTGGCCCACAAACCAGCCCCATACCATTTGTTCAGCCCACAGGGCCAGATAAGTTAATCAGCACTGGTTTTATAGCAGTGAATAAAAATGTATGCTCTCCACCTGCAAATGATACCAGTAGCACAGACACCTGTGTAGTTATGGAAGGCAGTAGTATTCTGTGCGAGGCCAACAGTATACACAAGTGAGTTGTATCCATAGGTTTTCTCGTTCATTTCTATGTGAACGTAATTGTTGCAGAAGTGCCAGATTCACAACCCATGAAGACTTCAGTCCTATCATATACATTGCTTTGGAAGATGCTGTGCCGGTTTTCTTGCATGGCTTTGCCATTATGCCAGCAACATAAGTGGAGGGGCTACTTTCTGGAAGCATTTGGTAGTTCAGGCTTCAGTTTTTGGTAGTTGCTTCCAGCAAGAGTGTGACTAGGTCCGTCATGGTCATCCTGCCTACCATATGTGTCTTCTCTTAAGTAATCAAGTACTGTTTCCAAATGCCCATCAGTGAATGTATGTTGACTTCAGTTTCAGCACTACATTTGTTTGTGTAATTCCCTGCTGGATATGCCAGTATTTGCCATAACTGAAGTGTGGTGAAGCTGTATTGTTGCTTCCACTTCTGTTATCTCTGGAACAAATATTCCCTATAGTGGTCTAAATCCTGGACAGTTCTTAAAAAGAATTTTAAGCTGACTTATATTTTGATCCCTGGTTTTAAGCTTAATGTGCTGTCAGTAAGATGCAAACATAGCCAAATGACTTTTAAGCACTGTTACTTTTGGAGCTGGATTTTTCTCTCTTGTTGTTGTCTGGTCTTTTAAACAGGTGATATAGTGGCATTGCTGTTTTCTTTTCCCCTCATGTTAAAATGCTGCCAGTGCCTTAGTGGAAAATTTTGGAAAACAAATTTGCTTATGCCACGCATTTTATTTTTATTTCTTTTTCTCCTCCCTGGGAGCCTTTGTATTAAATCACATTATGTTTTACAGAGTACATATGCTGTAGCTGTGTACTTTCTACCTGAAATCTTAAAGCATAGTTGACTTCAGGTGAGTTGCACCAGAAAAAACTTGGTCAAGAATATTTTTTTCATGATAATGGATGTGGTACTGGTTGTGACATACCTCATCAAAAGTCACCTTTCTCCTGGATAAGTAAGGACTGTTGATGAACTAGGGTTCTGATTTCATCTTTTCTCTTTCATGCAAGAGAAATATACAGTATACAAAAGTGTAAATAGAAGCATCTCTTCTAAACACTTTGCTTTTCAAGGCTTTCCATGAGACATGGAGGAGTCTTTGAGGTTATTTTCTCCTTTTCTCTCCACAAACATGAGGTTTCTATGAGAACCTGTCTCCCTTCCCCTGACCTCTGATGCCTGAGCAAAACTATCGAAAGCAGTTTCTGCTGCATTCTGGACCTTTTCCCTGCATGTTGTAGAGCAGAGTACCAAAGTACTGTAATATGCAAAAAAGATTATGGACAGGATAGGGATGTGTGCCATTGGGTAGCATATTCCTTGATCTGATGATTTTAAGAGGAATTATGGGTCATCTTGAGTAATCCATCCTTGTCTGTCATACAAAAGGGATGTAGCTACCTAAATATGCAGCTGCCCTCTTGGGGAAGAGAATACTGTTCAGCATTATAACCTCCCCAGCCCTGTCCAAAGACAAGCAGAGTCCATGAAATCATAACCCCATTGTTTTAGGCATGTAAGATGCACATAGCATTGCCCCAAAGGATGTCCAATCTAAGATATCTAAAATATTTAAGCTGGACAAAGAATGGGAAGGGAGACTAAGGCAGATAGAGGGGCAATCACTCAAACCCTGTTTCTCTGAATCATTTCATATTCTGGAGTAATGCTTTCTGCTTACGGTAAAATATAGACATTTTGTATATGGTATAGTTCACACTTTAACAATTAATAACTTTCATGCAGGTGGTCCCATGTAATTACTTGCAAGGTAATAACTAGTCAAAATTAATTTGTAGTTGTTTTTGAATTCTGACAAAATTGCAAAATGTAACTGAATTCTTCTGTCAGGTTCTATTGTACGATCTACGGAGAAGTGATTATGTTGGACAAAGCACAGGAAAATATACTGTAGGGAACAATGTTGTGCAGGCAAGAGAGAATGGCCTGGAAAACACTTAAGCCTTTCCATCTGTAACATTTATGTAATTAAGTGTTTTAAGTTTAAAAGGATTCTTTTGAGATTGGTAGTTTCTAAAGTTTCTGCTACTCTTCCTCCCCCATCCTGCTCCCCCTTCCATCTCTCCTTGAGAGGCTGCTGAGATTCGTAGTGCCCGAGTGTCTTTAATCAGAACGAATGCTTTGCTGCTGCTGCTGGAAAAGTGACTAATTAAATCTGGTGATATGTAACCAACCTACTAGCTGAAGTGAAAAATATCTGCACTGCCACCCCCTGGAAATTTTAATGAATATAACCGTTGTATGCTCTTTACTGTGTGTACCATATTTAATCAGGACAAATTGTCATTCCCCTTTGTACTTAATCTATTTTAAAACTGTAACTTGCTTTGCTCTTTTATGTCTTCGTTCTTTTCTGTGCATTAGTCCACAGTACTGCATTAAAACTATGTGATTTGCTTACAGATCATGAGATTTAAAAGAAAAAAAATCTTCTCAATTTGCCTGTCTTTTGTCTCTTTGAGATTTGGGTGATTAAGGTATTACAACTTTTCCACATCCATAAGAGCCAAAAATATAAAGGGTTTTTTTTTTCTTCTTTTTTAAATGAAAGCTGAGATTTTTACATAATCATGTCTCTGGGAGCTGGGCTTTAAGAATAACAACAAATATTATGAGGCTTGCAATAAAATTGTGAGATTTGGCAAAAATAACACTGCATTTTCTGTCCCCCTGCAATTGATCATGTGGAATCTGTGCCTCTGTTGTTTTAAGTGCCTTTTTTCCTTTTCATTTCTTATAGCTTGAATCCTCTTTCTCTCACTTTCC